TTAGCAAGGAAAATGTGTTTACATCTTTTTGTGCATTCAAAAACTATGCTTCAATTACACCTACTTGTCCTTTAGCCTGTTCTTAATTAGCTGTGGGTATCATAGAAGAGATGCATAGACATGGAGATCAAAATATTTTCTAAAATAGAAGCTAGGAAGGTTTGATTATGGATTTCCCTTTCTTGTTTTTCATTCCTTTTCTTGCCACGTCAACATTTTTGCAGTTATCAGTAGCATCATTGTATTGCTTGTAATTACTTTCTGAGGAAGAACGCAAATATTCACTGTTTCTATTCAGGCTATTAAAATTGCTCTATCAATCATCCTGCTTTGAAAATTATAATAAATTTAGCCCTTTTTTTAGGTAACTGTAAAAACTTTCCAGCCTTCCCTCTCCCCCAGAACAGCAGGAGGAGAAAGGTAGGAGCATTTTAATGAAATCACGTTTCCTCTTCCCCCAGTGAACTGGTCCTGTGGACCAGCTTGGGGAGGTATAATTCTCCCTGTTGTCTGACGTGAGTTACCAGCCTTTTATCCATCTATTTTATATTTTACCTAAGGGGTCTTTATGTTCTGATAGCATCCAAGCTTCCTTTAAGGCTGTATTTAACCGCTCAGTGGAGGGCAGCAGTAAGACTTGGCCCCTCAACTCTCACTTTGAGGGCAAAGCCTTTCGGAGTTGCGTCTTCAACCTTCAGCTGATGTTTAACGCCTCAAATGGTTGCACCCCCGTGAAGAGGCTGGGGAAAAAATAGGGCTAGAGGAAGTTAAATCCAGGTCTTTGCTGAGAGCTGAGCCCCGAGTTTGTAAAAGCCACTCCATCTAGTGGCAGTCCCTTTGCACAGCTGGTCTGGCAGTGCCCATCAACAGCCGCCAGCTGATGGGGAAAAAAGGCTAAAATGGGGTTCAGCTACAGGTTTTCTGGTTTTGGGCTTCAAGATAAAAGATGCTTCAATTTTTTATCTATTTTTTTAATCCTTATCCATAATCGTAATTCATTACTTGTGGCAAATTGCTGCATACGGTCATAGAAATACACCAAAAATTTTGAGTGCTGGCATCAGCACAGGCTCTTCCTCATCTTTAATCAGTGTTTTGGTTCTTTTTAAAGCCGTTTTAAAATAAGTGAGGTAGTAGAGCTCATTTTAGGAAGGGACGAAGCTGGGAGCTTTGGAGACTTAAAGGCTTTGTTGGAAGAGTGGCTTTCAGCAGGGCAGGGAAGAACAAGGAGGTTCTCCCTCACTGCCACCCTGCCCGTGAGGGGACCTTACTGTGGCACAGAGCCATCATCCCAGTCCTGTCCAGAGAGGAGGGATCTGTGCAGGGATCCTTGTCTACTGGACAGGCTCTGAGAAGGATCCCAAAGTATTTCACATAGAGATGGTGATGGATCTCAGGCAATATGGGTTTGGGTTGCGTTGAAGCCAGCTGCAAAGAGCAGCGTGGCCACGAGGAGTGGGGTGTCCTGTTCTCGTGGGCCGTGCCTCCTCGCAGCTCCAGGTTCAGACAGAAGAGCTGAGAGCTAAAATTTGTGTGCCACTGGCACATCCATCTGACCCAAAGGGAAAAACCGGGAAGCAGACCACTGCTTCCACCATCAGCTTTCTGGTTGATGCCAAATCATCTAACACCTCGTACTCTGCCATGGACTCTTCTGATGACCTCAGTGCCAAGGGTCTAGTCTTGTTTTCAGCCACGGAAAACCTCGCTGGTGGCTCCAGCGCATTTCAGTGTTGTAGTGCATACTGGGGCACGCTAGTACCTAAATTAAAATAAACGAAATTCCAGTAAAGTGCAATTCCAGATCAGGCAAATGGCTGCTTTACTGCAACTTTAATAAAAATCAACTGCTACTTGAATAGGTGCATGCACACATACTGCTAGAAATTTCCAATTATGATATTCCCAGCAGCAAACAAAAACAAAATTAATGTCAGCTGCATCCCCCAAAGCCTAAACTACACCACTAATGAACTCCCAAGTACTCTCAAAGAAAACTCTCTTCGCAGAGACAATAAGGTGGAAATTACTGTAATAATCTCAATGTAAAAATACAGAGGGGGAAAAAAAAAAAACCAAACCAAAAAATCATTGAAATTCAGAGTAAGACTTGCCTCTCCTGATCCCATTAACCAATGTTGTTAGCATAGCATATGCACGCACAGTGATATTGTCACATAACTCACTGCCACCTTCAAAAGAGCACGCAGGAATCCGTGTTCTTTCATTTGTATTTCAAACAAAGGTAGAGGTTGCACGGTGGCTTGCACCTTATTCTGAGGGAGTCTACACTTAACACGACTCCAGCAGTGACTGGAGCTACCTCATAACAATTTGTTTGTCTGTCTGGCAGAAGTGCTCGGTTGCATACAATTTTTGAAGCTTTACTCAAACATTAATCTTCTCAACATGAGGCTGTGGCTTTAATCATTAAAATGGTTGTCTTTCTTCTGTCAGCATAAGCTGGAATAAGAGAGAGTACCAAAGCCATCTTTACATGTTTATAGAACTACTTATTTAATCTTTTGGGGGAGGGGGGGTAGTTTTTCAAATAAATAACACATTCTTCACTTCTGGTTTTAAACCGGTGTTTTAATGCCAAGTTTTAAGTTGCCAGGCTTCGCCCAAACCAGATTTCTCAGTTGTCAGCAGGGTCATCTTTGCACCACGTAACATCTGCAAATTCTCTGAGGAATAGCTGTAAAGCACCTTCTGAAGGAAAGGTATTAGATTATTGCTGTTCATTTTGATGTGCCGTTTCCTTCCCTCACTGCTCAAACTCTCAAAATTAAATTCATTAATATATTTTAAGATTGTCCATCTAATAATTATGCTGTTATTTGCTGAGTGAGGTTGTCTGCAAAAGCTGACACAGCGAGTATCAGTGCTGTGGCTTAGACCTAAAGGGTTGTTCATGCTCCTTGTTGGCAGTACTGGAGTTGGAGTGTCTTCTGGAGGTCTGTGTTCATCTATCTCCTTTGTCACTCGGTGTCCAGGCCTGCTGGATCAAATGGAAAACTTTGAACTGTGGAAGAAGTCTTGAGTGTTCAGATGCCATGTGTAAGTGCAGTATGAATATCTCATCAGCCAAATGAGCTCTGCTGCTTTTGGAAATCCATATGATTTCTTGTGGTTATAAGTATTGGTATTGTAGAGAGGAATACTTTCCTTCTTTCTTCTAGTTTTTGTGGGAAAACCGAGCTGTGGTACCTACCATACGGGTCTTCTCTTCAGGAGTTGAGGTGAACATAACTCTGGGTTTTGGCAGATAATCTCTCATGGCCTTTCTGGCCGTTTATTGTCAGTTGTGTAGAGCGAACAGCTTAAGTTGGTACAAGCATCTGGGATTTCCTGGCTGTCACAAACAACTTTCTCCATTCTAAAAGTGTGAAAAGGCTTGGTTTTGCTCCTGTTGCTGTTGTAATCATCGAGATGTCCTGTAGCGGATGCGACTGTAGGACACCAAAGCAATTATTCTGGCTCTTATTTACATTCAGACCCCTCTCCACCCATCTGGTAGTGCAAAGGGGCCCTAAAGCAGACGTTCAGTGCATGTTCAAGGCATGTTTATGTCTGTTGCCTCTTGAACTCTTGTGATGCACTGCTGCAAAAAGCCTGGATTCATCTCAGGCTCCAGGGAGGTGGTTGAGGCCTCATCCCTGGAGATATTCAAGGAGAGGCTCGATGAGGCCCTGTGAACCTGGTCTAGTTGGGGGTGTCCCTGCTGACTGCGGGGGGGTCGGACTAGATGACCTTTGGAGGTCCCTTCCGGCCTGGACGATTCTATGATTCTATGATTCTATGTTATGTGGGCAAAGGTGTGTAAAGGAGTGCAGCATGAGAAGAGCTGAAAGACCTGTCTTACAAGTTGATGTGTGTAAGATGCTCAGATGCTGATGATGGTGCTCTCCCAAAGGTACCATGACCAGGAGTTACACCCTCAGGAGCCATTCAAGAGCAAAGGCTGGGCGTGATGGGACTCAGAGACCACTGGCTACCTGGGGACCACTGCTGGGCTCCCCATTTCTGAGGGGACAGAATGTTTTTGAGCTTGTCCCCGATGGGACAGGTTACATTTCCATGCTCTCACAGCATCAGTGGCGCCTGGTGCCTTTTGCTTGGAGTTTTGGTTAGAGCTGCACTTTGACCCGGCTTAATGCCATGTTTTTCTAGGCAAGTCTGAACTGCCCTGGCTGAGGCTTCTCACCTACACAGGATGGATCACTGATGCTCTCACTGAAAGGTTACCTTTCCTAAAACAGTGGAACAGGGCTGGGTGACAACCCACCTCCCACACAGAGTCCAGACATCCCAGTTGCCTGGGTTTGCTTAGCAGAAGAAAGGAACAGAGTAATGAAGCTGCATCCAGATCCCTAATTTGTAGATGGAACACCTTGCTAATAAATTTGCAGTGAGAAATTAAGGATGTTAGCAGACCTCAGATTGCTGTAATAGGGTAATGTGAATTTACAGGCATTCTGGGTGAAACTTAGAGTGCTTGGCTCTTTCCCCATTCCCTCTCTGTTGTCAGGTTTTCAAAACCCTCGGTGCCTTTTGAAAGAAGAGCAATGAAGGTGATGATTCAGTTTAATGTTGCTCCTACAGTGACACTTGGTATTACCTAAACGAAGCAAGCCCAAGGAATATTGGTCTGCAAGGCACTTTGCAATCAGAAGCCAAGTTCAGATCTAGAGAAAAACGTCTTTCTGGTGGAGCGGCTCGGGAGGTTTTGATGAGAAATGAAAATTACTTTCCTATGGAATACTCAATTCCCTGCGCCTGCGGTTTTCGCATCACTTCTTAGTGTAATTCGGTTTTCGTGAAATCCAGGTGATTTCTTTCTAAGTGCTTAACTCGCCCCGATTCCCGCAGGTGGCAAAGGCTAGACCTGCACTGAATACAAGAGAAAGGTCGATTTTGTTTGACACAGTTCAACTAAGTTGTTCGTGGAGTTTGTCTCCCTGTTTATCTTAATGAAGTCTGATCTTTTCCCCTTCTAGGATTTCCTCCGATGCGTTTTTCCCTCCCCCAAGTCTCGCTGAAACCAACAGGACTGGGGTTATGAAGTCAATCCTAGATGGCCTCGCAGATACAACGTTCCGAACAATCACAACAGATCTCCTTTACGTGGGTTCCAACGATATCCAGTACGAAGACATGAAGGGCGACATGGCATCCAAGCTGGGGTACTATCCCCAGAAGTTTCCTCTCTCTTCCTTCAGGGGTGATCCTTTCCAAGAAAAAATGACTGCGGGAGATGATCCCCTGTTGAGCATTATTCCCTCAGATCAGGTCAACATCACAGAGTTTTACAACAAGTCCCTCTCCACGTTTAAGGATAATGAGGAGAACATACAGTGTGGGGAGAACTTTATGGATATGGAGTGCTTTATGATCCTGAACCCCAGCCAGCAGCTGGCCATCGCCGTGCTGTCGCTCACCCTGGGCACCTTCACGGTCCTGGAGAACCTCCTCGTCCTGTGCGTCATCCTCCACTCCCGAAGCCTCCGGTGTAGACCCTCCTACCATTTCATCGGCAGCCTGGCTGTGGCCGACCTCCTGGGCAGCGTGATTTTCGTCTACAGTTTTGTGGATTTCCATGTTTTCCACCGGAAGGACAGCCCCAACGTCTTCTTGTTCAAACTGGGTGGAGTTACAGCCTCCTTCACCGCCTCCGTAGGTAGCCTTTTCCTCACGGCAATAGACCGGTACATATCTATACACAGGCCTCTAGCTTACAAAAGGATTGTTACCCGACCAAAGGCTGTCGTAGCGTTTTGTGTGATGTGGACCATCGCTATTGTAATAGCCGTTCTTCCTCTGCTGGGCTGGAACTGCAAAAAGCTCAACTCGGTTTGTTCGGACATCTTCCCCCTCATCGACGAGACGTACCTGATGTTCTGGATCGGGGTCACCAGCGTCCTCTTGCTGTTCATTGTCTATGCCTACATGTACATACTGTGGAAGGCTCACAGCCACGCTGTGCGCATGATTCAGCGGGGCACCCAGAAAAGCATAATCATTCAGTCTACGGAGGATGGTAAGGTCCAGATCACTAGGCCTGACCAAACCCGTATGGACATCAGGTTAGCCAAAACCTTGGTCCTTATCCTAGTCGTTTTAATCATATGCTGGGGCCCTCTCCTCGCCATCATGGTGTACGACGTCTTTGGGAAAATGAACAAGCTCATCAAGACTGTCTTTGCCTTCTGTAGCATGCTCTGTTTGCTGAATTCGACGGTGAACCCCATCATCTACGCTCTGAGGAGCAAGGACTTGCGACACGCCTTCCGCAGCATGTTCCCCACCTGCGAGGGGACGGCGCAGCCCCTGGACAACAGCATGGAGTCTGACTGCCAGCACAAACACGCCAACAACGCGGGGAACGTGCACAGGGCTGCCGAGAGCTGCATTAAGAGCACAGTAAAGATTGCCAAAGTTACCATGTCTGTCTCCACAGACACGACTGCCGAAGCGTTGTAAGGCAGAGACTTCTCAGCCTTGTGAGAATTTAAAAAAAAAAAAATAAAAAAATAAAATTAAAAAATAAAGAGGAGTTAGTTTGAAAAAAATAATATATATTACAAAAAAAAAAAAAAAATCAACAACAGAGAAAACCAAACCCATGGCTTAACGTGTTTGTACCCTCCTGTAATATTTTTTTGGTCTGTCATTGTAAGCTGAGCAATGATTGTGTTAAAGAGCATTACCATCAGCCAGTTCTTCAGGTTTTACAATTAGGGATTTGAGCTAAATTTTCAAAAGTTTTTTTTCTCAAAAAGTGTTTACTGAAATAATGCTAAGTTTTCCTGAAAGAGCACAGAGAAAATACCGGGTTAGCAGCGGTTCCTCTTTGGGGGTGTGAAGAAAAATTGTGAAACCTAATTGAAAACTAACGCATCCTAAACCAATACCATCCAATAAGATATAAAAAAAAAAAAAGCCTTGTAATCGTGCTGTTCATCTCAATGTGAAATGTATTTCATGTCTCTAAGTAGTAGGAGTTTTTTGATTTTTTCCAAAAGCGGCAGTGCTGAGTTTTAGAGGTTTTGTAAAACGTGTCGTGTCCCGTGAATTGTATGCTGTTTTATTATGTGTTCTTGATATTTGTCTGATTAAACAAAGTGATAAGGTAGACTTTCCGTGGAAATAACGTGAAACGTGATAATGTAAACCCCATTGAAAACACCTCCTGTATTTGAAGAATTCCTATGAGCTATTTTGGAAATTTTACACTTTTCGTGGTCTTCTGTGGACTTAGGGGCGAGGCTTTGCGTTCTTCTCCTAAAATTATTTCCCCCACTGCCTTTTACTTTCACATGCGTATGAGAGTAACAGCAACAGAGGAGTAGAGGAGGAGTGTAAGAGAGGAATGCACTGGTTCAGACTTTTAAATACCACTGCGTTTATACAGAAGGACGTTTTACGGTGGCACAGACTTATCGCCCTGCCCTCGGGCGTTGCGCGAACACGAGCACGGAAAAAAAGAGAAGGTCCTGGATACTGGCTCCTTTAACGGGCAACTGGTTTTAAGCCACGTGCTGGTGCTGGACCACTTGAAGACAGCATGTGTCAGACTCGGTGTGCAATGTTATCACTGTGCAGTCGATGTATTTACTTGAAGTGTGTCGCATTTCCCCGGCTCCCGGGTCTCCCGAGCAGATTTCAGAGCCTGGGATGCCAAACTCCCGTCTTCACTAAAAGAGGAGGAAATATTGTCAGACTTTTTTCTTACCGTGTGAGCGTGTATATAAATAAATATCTCCCCCCTGTGTGTGTGCGTGTGCGTGCGTGTGCGTGTGTGTAAGTATACTAATCAGTGTGAGTCATGGTAGCATAACTTAAGATAGGACACTATGACCAAATGTAAACTGTATTTCTCGTTGCACGCTTTGCACACGAATTCTGTTTCTAAAATTGAGTTCTTCCAACTGGTTACTGACGAAAGTACCGCATTGAGGACATCCCGGTCCACTCCGAGAGGTGTCTCCTTGTGCTAGAGAAAGGAACCTTGTGGTTGTACTTGAGAATAAGGGGAAAGAGGAGGCAGAGCGTGGCATGAGCCCGTGCTCAAAACTGCCGTGGCTCTCGGTGGTGTTCCGGGGAACTGAGAAAGCCAGAAATAAATGGTAGCTTGTCTGAAGGCCGTCAGCATGCAAATCTGATGGCTTGAAATGAGGTGAGTCTCGCTGTGAAACCAGGATGCAGGTGACAAGGTGGGACTCTTACCAGCTTTGAGGAAGAAGCTATTGAAGGCAAATGGCACCTCTCTTCCCTGGTGGGGCTGTTTCTGCAGCCTGGGCCTTCCACCAAGAGCATGTTACCAGATAGTCTGTCAGCCTTGGGTCTTCTGTAATTCCATTCTGAATCAGAAGGTACGGGGGTCCTCTTCTCTGCTGCCTTGCTTTTTTGGACCGTTTCCTCACCCTTCTTCTGGCTGGTTTCTCCCAAAATGGCTGCAAAGGCGGCTTAGCCCGGTAGCTGCCTGATGCTCGCCGCAGTACGGGTGACTCCCTCCGTGGCCCTGAGCGAGAGGACCCAGCTCCATGGTGTCGTGCCACCCATCCTCGGGGTAACGTAGGGAGAGCAAGGGGTCTCCAGCCACCCTGGTGTCCCCATGGCATTTCTGGTAACCAGCACAGTGTTCCTCTGCGGGAGCATCAGTGGCTCCAAGTCCAGGGGTGAGGGACGGCACGTTTTGAAGGTCACATCAGGTGAGGTGCTGAGCAGCAGCTGGAAGACACAGGGGTACTTTCCTCCTCTACCCATCCTCCCCCACAGCTTACCTGGGTGGTAGGACAGGCCACTGTGCCCTCCATGGGGCCACAGCAGGCGGCCAAAACTGAGGGATTGCAGAGGATTCCTGTGGGACGTGCAAGTCCTTCTGAAAGACCTTCCTCGTAGCTAGTCCGTCCTAAAGCAGTCCTCTTGGGGGAAGGAAGGGGAGGAGCCCATTTGAAATGTCAAGGTATTTTAAGAGCCATTTTTGAAACTGTCTTCTTGTGAATTAAATGCAAACTTCGTGGACTTTTTCATTGTGCATTCAAGTTCAAAATTTTACATGATAAATCATGGGACAATGGGGCTGTCTTGGCACTTAACTTGGTGCTTACTGATATAATAAGAAATAGCATCCTGTGAAACGTTACCGTCTATCATCAGTATCTTCATTTGCATAATGAGTTTTTCTAAAGCTCTGGGAACTGTGTCGGTTCACTTAGAACCATTTATTAAAGAGGTGGAAACAATTTCCCTGCCCATCGCGCACTAAGTAGAACTACTCTTTCATTAGAAAAAAACATCTGCTGCCGTTCCGAGATAAGCTGTACTTCAACTTCAGCTCTAGGTATTCCTAATTTGCCTACCTTCACTTAGTGATAGCACAGCCAAACGATACTGTGTTCCACGGCCACCCACACCATCATCATCATCATCATCATCATCAACCAACCACCCAACGATGGTTGCAGTTAACGTATACGTACCAACTCCACGTGTCGCGTACCTACCGAGAAGGCCATCTGTGTCACGTGTGTGCAGAGTTAAGATTCTCAACAGTCTAATTGTATATTTGTATAATACAATCTCCTCGATGCTGTGCAATCACTATCCACATCTTCTTGCACTGGCCTTTCGATGACAACTTTAGTGTGTCTATTGTGAGATAGACAGTGCATCTTACCTGCTGTTATTGGGCTGAATGTATGTAAATAAGTGAAAAATTAAAAAAAAAAAAAAGTCATCTGTACAAGCAGTGGCCTAAAAAGTCTGTAATTGTAGACTAGGACAATTGTTGAAGTTGCTGTGACATCTCAAATACTACCTTTGAATAAACTGTTTACAGGGTCTCTTGGGATGCTGTTTCATAGTGAAAGGAAAATCTTTCCTTGTGATAATATGAGGTAAAGAAATTGGATTACCTGAGGTTTTTATTTCCAAGTGTTTCAAAGTGGAGAACATAACTCTTTATTGTCTGTAAATCTAACATTATTACTTCCTCTTAGAAGAATATTGTATCATTAGATGTTTGTTTGAGCTGGTAACATCCTTGCAACTGCTGCAATATTTTTCATTAGCAACCTGTATAATAGTTTGTACACAAGTACTGTTCCGATTGTCATGAAAAGTAGCTTTGACCATTTACCTACCAGTAGCAGAATAGTATTTCTGTAAGATTTCCAGTGTATTCCTACCATATCATATTTTATTTCTATAATGTAATTAAACTGTTATTTATTCAAGGAGAAAAAGTATTCCTCTACTTTTTTGTTTTCCAAATTTTGAGATAACTGAGGAAGCCACGTGATGATGCTGCCTCATCCCACAATCTGGTACTCTACGTTTTGTTTATAAGTTTGTCTGTCAGATTCTAAAACAACTGCTTAAACAACTTGACAACAGGTTGTCAAGCTTTGTGGGTTTTAATTGTACGTTGATATGTTTGAAGGAGGAGGTAGATTATATATTTTGTATTTGTGTATTCAGTACTATGGAGACAAGAGAGAAATGACATAGTTAAAACCGAATCTCCTGTTTCATTATGTAGGCAATTTCCCCTTTCCTCTGTATTAGCCAAAATGCAATAAATCTCTTTTTCCTTCCTCAGATGCATATGTCTGGACAGAGATGTCACATTAAGACAAACCCGTATACTTCAGAAAAACAAAACACAAAAGAGCAGAAGAAAGGAACACACACCAAAATAGTGCTGTCAACAGCATCGACGACCTAAATTCATTATTAGTGCTTGCAAATGTAATCAAGGGCTTGAGACAAACAAAAAGTTAGTCTAGTTTTAGCCAGTGCCAGTGGGGACAGAGTTATGGGTGGAGCGGGGGGGCGTGATGAAGTGGTCCAACAGGGATGCACAAAAGTTGTGCAGGGAGAGAGAGCTCAGCTGCTGTCACTAAAGTGCTCCCACTGCTGCCCATCACAACTTTCAGGGTTGACAAAGCCCTCACAATCTGTCTGTGGTCCCACACGCCCAACCCGAAGCCCAATGAACGCCCTAGAAGGGTCCCTGCCCATTTCAGAGGATCGGTTTTCCATATGACTTAATCACGGATTCATGTTACTTGGGCAATTTGCCTTCTCCACATTCGTGGTTTGAGAACTTTGGAGGTCCTTAGGGGACGGAGTGAGCATGGCCTGGGGCCTTGGATCGTGGTTGTGCCACGACGTTTGTATTTTTGAAAAACTAGGTCACTGAAGAATTGAGAAAGTCTTGGCGAAACAAAAGCAACTAGAAATGAAAGATCAGCTCTTAATCTCTGACTGCATGCTACATTTAAATGAAGGAGTCGGGGTATTTCTGCTGAAAGCTGTCACTTCCAAGGAAGCCAGGAGACAATTCCTGCTGTATTTTGCATGCACACTAGAAAATAAAGGCTGTACTGCCACAAACCGACAGTTCCTCTTAACGGTAGCACCTGACTGCATTTGTAAGTCTGTTCTAGACAACACGAGAGGAAATAATGACAACTTTTCAAGCAAACTGCTTTCCCATGCTATACCAGCTCAGGAAGCACACGGGCAAACATGCTGTCATCGTTTCAGCCCTTCACATGAACATCCCTTATTGTTTCCGCTCTTCTGACAGTTGTTTTTAAAAGTCACGATATCAGCGTGCACACACGTCATCAGTAAAACATCTGCATTTTGTTGTGTTTTTTTTAAAAAAAAAAAAACACTTTTTGTCTTCAGTGAAAGTCCAGCCTTGGCTTAATTTTAAATTTAATCTGGGAAGAGGTTACAAAAGAAGAAAAAAAAATAATTTTGCCTGTGTTTAAGAAAGCTGGGGAGGAGTGTTACTTGACAGTTTAGAATACATAGCTTCCTCCCTTCTGCCTTTGTCCATTGGTCTTTATAGGTAATGAATACGAAGAGTTTTCTTTAAATAGCAGCACAATGTATGAAGCACATGATTGCCCTTAACAGGGCTCCTTAATATGAACACTCCTCTAACACTAATCTTTAAAATTCAGTTAGGAGCAAAAGTGATAATAAGCCCGAGGTAATCTTAGTGACTAGGTCTGACATGCCCTGGTATTGCTTTCCAATAAATCATCTTTGGTATTCAGGGCAGCGCTGAGTTTTATGTTAAAGCACACTAAGGTATGGAATCCTGTCTCGATAAAGCCACTAAGCATTTTTTATTGACTTCAGCAGAAATTATATCTTACCCCGATTTTGAGTCTGCATTCAGAAAGCGCAATTTTATATTCCATTGTATTTGCATTTTCACTGACATTAAAACAAAGATGAGAGAGAATAAATAACAGCCTCTATATTCATCGGGGTTTGGGTTTGTTTTTTTTTAACCTCCAACAAAAATCTATTTTGAATTCCGGTGGGTCAATGCAGCATCATAAAGTCTGGCAGGAGTTCAATGGACTTGTCATGGCAGTGAAGCAATTTATTTATCCATATGTGTGCAGATGGGGTAGAGAACATCATGAACGAAACTGCTTCCAGTAATGCTGACAGAGTCGCTTCCTGACGGCTTGCACTGATGCTGTTTTGATGCTGCTTTCTTTCCTCCCCTCTATATATACATATACATGTACGTGTCTGCGTGCTGAAAACAGGCCACACACGTATTCAGAATCCTTCTCCAAAAGAAAGAAGGATCCCTATTTGTAATAATAACAAAAAAATAATAATAAATTAAATGTAATACTTATACTTGGCTCCGGGAAGACCTTATAGCAGCCTTTCAATACCTGAAGGGTGCCTATAGAAGAGCTGGGGAGGGACTCTTTGCCAGGAGGTGTAATGATAGGACAAGGGGAAATGGTTTTAAATTGGAAGAAAAAAGATTCAGATCAGATCTCAGGAAGAAATTTTTTACTATGAGGGTGGTGAGACACTGGAACAGGTTGTCCAAGGGAAGGTTGAACACCCTGGAGGGGTTCAAGGCCAGGCTGGATGGGGCTTTGAGCAACCTGCTCTAGTGGGAGGTGTCCCTGCCCAGGGCAGGGGGGTTGGAACTCAATGATCTTTGAGGTCCCTTCCAACCCGAACCATTCTGTGATTCTATGATTCTATACTACTACTACTAATAATAATAATAATTATCTGAAACAACTTCACAGACACTGATTTAATGAAGGAGAAGCCTTTTTCCCATAAGATCCATGGGGAAGATCCCCATGGATCTCATTGAAAGTCCCTCCAGGCCTCAGCACCACAGGGATACCCCGCTTTCCGCAGAGCTGAAGAGGGGGAGAAGGGAAGGGAGCTGGAAATTCCCTGCTTCTTGCGTGTGGCAGGCTGTTCCTGGAGCCCCTGTGTGTGTGATGCTGCCAGGGTCTCGGGGGACTCGCCCACGGTATCCCCATCCCCCAGGGCAGGGCTTGGCGGTTGGTGTAACCTGGCTGAGAGCAGAAACCTCCCCAGGAGAGGTGAAGAATAATCATCTCTGCTTGAAAGTCTGAAAAGAGAGGATTGAAGACGTAGCAGGGTGATGATGCAGAGGTGGGGACCTGCTATGCGTCATTTCTTAGTTACGGAACAAGGATTAGGGGTATCATTTTAATAGAGGAACGTGGGAATCACACAGGCTGTGGATCCATCCTGTAAACACTCCTCCCAAACCTTCACAAGGGTAATAATAAATTCCGTTACGGCCTTTCATCAGCAGCTTGGGGAAAAAAAAAAATATAATCATTATCTCTGCAATGCTTAACTTGTAACCTAATTCAAAGTCATTTTTAAATTATACACCTACCTTCTACCAAGGCAGTCTGAGTAGGCAAAATTAATAACAGGCATGCTCAGTAAATCCAAGGTTTAAAGCTTTAGCTCGAATGTTAATGTCTAAATTGAGTAATACTATCAGTCATGAGAATTACCCTTATCTGCCTCCTTATCTTTTCCTATTCATTTGAGGGTTTTTATTTATTCTTATTATAGCACTAGCAAAACCTGACAGCTCTGGCAGAGGCAGGGACGGTCCCTCCGCCTGCGGCCGGTGGTGTTGCTGAGCTGCTGCCACAGCAGGGCCAGGGCTGCAAGATGCTCCTCTGGAGAAGGAGGTGAAGAGAGAGGACTCACCACTTCATAGCCAGCCTAGTAGGAGATAGTACTGGGTTCAGTTCTGGGCCCCTCACTACAGGAAGGACATTGAAGTGCTGGAGCATGTCCAGAGGAGAGCCACCAAGCTGGTGAGGGGTCTGGAGAACAAGACCTATGAGAAGAGGCTGAGGGAATTTGGTACATTTAGTTTGGAGAAGAGGAGGCTGAGGGGGGGCCCTCGTTGCCCTCTACAACTACCTGAAAGGAGGGTGTAGAGAGGTGGGGGTTGGCCTCTTCTCCCAAGGGAATAATGACAGGAGCAGAGGAAATGGCCTGAAGTTGGGGAAGGGGCGGTTCAGATTAGATATTAGGAAGAATTACTTTACTGAGAGGGTGGTCAGGCACTGGAACAGCCTGCCCAGGGAGGTGGTGGAGTCACCATCCCTGGAGGTATTTAAGAAACGTGGCTCTTCAGGGCATGCTCTAGTGCCCAAGATTATTGGTTTGTGGGTGGGTGTGATGTGGTGGGGTGTTGTGGTTTTTCTTTTGTTGTTTTGGGTTTTGAGGGGGTTTTTGGGGGTTGGTTGTTTTTTTTTTTGGAGGTTGGACTCGATGATCTCAGAGGTCCCTTCCAACCATGGTGATTCTGTGATTCTGTGAGATGGGAAAGGAGCAAAGCCTTCCAGGGCACAGCTCCTTCCCCAGGCACGTCCTACATCCCCTTACAGCTGCGTGGGCACTGCCACAGGTTCAACCTACCCCTCCACTCCCACCTTGGCAGCTGATGACGGGCTCCTTGGCAGGGACCTGACCAAAGCTGTGGCACCCAAGGATCAGTGCCCACGGCGAGGCACTTGGTAAGGGTTCTTTCTGCCTGTGCTTCATCAGCCCCCAGTGTGGATTGTACATAGCTTTTTTACCCCAAATTATTCTTTAAGGAAAACTCCCACCTCCAGCTTTGGTGTTCCTCACTCAAGATCCTGGGGCTGACCAAAACATGGTTATGTGCAGATGATAAAAAAAGCCACAGGTCTACAGTCCTTATAGATTACAGGAAGAGTAGTTTAACAGCAAAATATCAGAAAAGACTCAAAAAAGACCACACTTTCCACCTACAAATTGGGCATTTAGCCCAAATAGTTTTCTATGCAAGCGATATGTGCAGGTGAACCATTTAACCTCATTTTCCCCTGGGAAAGCTGAGGATCTCCTTTAGCTTAGTTAAAAAAACTGAGTTGCCTCACTCAGTGGCGACGCAGACAGCAGTTGCATCTGGTGCTGGAAAGGACCATTCCTGTAGTGACCAAGAGCTGACCTTCTAAACAGATAGCTAAGCTGAGACCTTTTGGGTCCTCTCATTGAAGACATTCCGCCCTGATCTGAAGTGAGAGTGTCCAGCCTTTCATTTATTTTTAATCCCACTCAAAATGCCACTGGGGCCTGCAGGTGCTTTATTTTATTACTGCAAACATGATGAAGCTACTGGCTGTCATAAGAAAGGACGGAGGGGGCCTTCAAACTCAGTGCCACGCTGTTCTTATGCTTTTGCTCTTTGCCCTTTTCTTGCTGATTACGTGAGGTTTTTAATAGTTATT